CTTTCGGTCGGAGACTTGGATCGCCCTTTTGGCCTGTCGTTTAAGTTTTTGGGTTGGCCCAGGAGTTGCACGCCGTTTGCAACGTTGTCTGCTGGGCCGAACCTTTGCTGGGAAGCCAGTCCATGAGGGACCCCAGGTTTATGAACCCGATAGGAGCCCCCGAGCCCTCAGGCGATTCGGTAGAATCGTCTGGGATTTCTCTTGATTGATGCGGGTGCGGCGCGCACTTCTCGCGGTGTGTCGACCGAGCCCCTGTGTGATTCGGCCGAATCGCCTGGGGGGTTTTGTCAGTGGGCAGCGGAGGTCGTGGATCCTGGCGTCGGTGCAGCCCGCGTAGCCAAGGCAGTTAGTTTAGGGATCGGGTGAAGCGGAGGTCGTGGATCCTAGCGTCAGTGCAGCCTGCGCTGGTGTCGGTGGAGCCCGCGCAGCCGAGGCAGGGATCGGGCGAGATGGAGCTCGCGGATCCTAGCGTCGGTGCAGCCCGCGCAGCCGAGGCAGTTAGTTTAGGGATCGAGCAAGACAGAGCTCGCGGATCCTTGTGTCGGTACAGCTCGCGTAGCCGAGGCAGTTAGTTTAGGGATCAGGCGAGACAGAGCTCGTGGATCCTGGCATCGGTGCAGCCCGTGCAGCCGAGGTAGTTAGTTTAGGGATCAAGCGAGATGGAGCTCGTGGATCCTGGCGTCGGTGTAGCCCGTGCAGTCGCGGATCCTGGCGTTGGTGCAGCCTACGCAGCCAAGGCAGTTAGTTTAGGGATCGGGCGAGTCGGAGCTCGTGGATCCTGGCGTCGGTGCAGCCCGGGCAGCCGAGGTAGTTAGTTTAGGGATCGGGCAAGACGGAGCTCACGGATCCTGGCGTCGGTGTAGCCCACGTAGCCGAGGCAGTTAGTTTAGGGATCGGGCGAGACGGAGCTCGCGGATCCTAGCGTCGGTGCAGCCCGCGCAGCCGAGGTAGTTAGTTTAGGGATCGGGTGAGACAGAGCTCGTGGATCCTGGCGTCGGTGCAGCCCACGCAGCTGAGGCAGTTAGTTTAGGGATCGGGTGAGACAGAGCTTGTAGATCCTGGCGTCGGTGCAACCCGCGCAGCTGAGGCAGTTAGTTTAGGTGTCTTGAGCCCCTGAGCCCCGTTGGGCTTGGTAGGGGTCGGTTTGAGTTTTGTGCGTTACCCCGTCCTCAGTTTCTCACAACCAGAGGACTGAGCTAACGTCGCTTGCCTCGATCGCTCGGGCTCGAGTGACGCGGTCAGTGAGCTCGCTAACGGGTATGATCGATTGGAATCTGGGTTCGTCGTTCGTGATGGGGTCGGCAAAGTCCTCTTGTGACATTCCACTGCTCCTTAACCTACAACCCGGCAGATGCCTGGGTCGTTCCTGAGACCGACCCGGGTGGCCCGCTGGCCTCCCATAGATGGAGATTCTGTGGGTTTGGCGAGGTTTAGGATCGAACGAGAAGGTTGAGATGACCCTATTCGCTTCGGGGCAGACTAGGCGAGGGCCGCTCGGGGCTCATCTGTGTTTTCTCCCCTAGCTCTATTTGACACGAGGCGGCCTCGAGCCCTTCGTGGGCCGACCTTCGAACCCTGGTCGGTCGTCGCTCATGTTAAATGAGGCAACTTCCGCTTCGTGACTCAACACGGAGCGTTGTGATGCATTTGACTGCATACGCAATGCTTTAGCCCTCTAGCCCCTGGGCGATTCGAGATAGAATCGTCCGGGGGGCACGGGTGCATGGAATGAATGAATGCGTGTAGGGATGTATGAAGGATTATAAAGAAAGAGCGGTGGTCGATAATGTTACCTTGATGACTTGAGTGACGGGGTTTGACGAGCTCCAATCAGAAACATCCGACCAGGATCCGTGCTCGTCGTTCGTGATGGAGTCGACATGGCCCACATAGGGCGTCCCTCTGCTCCTTACCTGTCTCTCGTTGTTCACCTGAGCCGTCCGATCGACTCAAGAAGCCCGTTGGTCTCTCCTGGAGGAGATCCCGTTGCTTGGGCATTTCCATGTCGCGCCTGGGAAGGCAGAGGGCCACCTACGCATAGTGGCGCCTTGTTTCTCGTGCCCGGCATGCGGTAGTGGTGGGCCTACCCAGGCCATGTCCCGTCTGACCAGGCGCCGTTTCATCGGTCAGGGTGCGTCTCATCGGTCAGGGCGCGTCCCTTCGTATCCCATCCGCATTGAATGGGGAAGGGAGAGGGTTTTTGCCCCCGTCGTTTCGCCCTTCCCCGATCACTGTGCCTTTCCCAACTGTTGTGCCCCTTTCTTTAAGTAGGAGAAGGGAGAGGGCTTTCGCCCTGTTCCTTCACCTATTCCTCATCTGCCGTTTCTTCCCTTTCTTCCTTCTCACCAAGAGCGTCTGAGTGCCGCGGTGGTTCCTAGGAGAGAAAAAGGGGAGAGCAAGGGAGAGGGGAAAACTCACAAATCCATTCGTGAATCCGTAACGAAATGTCAAGCTGAAGGTCATCCGTTGTGAGGGAGTCAATGCTGGAGGCCTTCGCCGAGAAGGGGTTTCTGCCGCCAAAGGAGGTGGCACACTGGAGGGCTCCTGGGAGGGAGGATTTCCCGCAACCTCGGGCCAGCGAGGTTGTTTCCTTCCTTGCTTTCCACGAGCGCGGGTTAGGATACCCTGCGCACTGGTTCCTGCGTGGGCTCTTCAATGAGTGGGGTCTGGAGTTACAGCACCTCAATCCAACTGGGGTGCTGCATATCACCGGCTTCATCACTGTCTGTGAGGCCTTCCTTGGGATGGAGCCGCACGCGGACTTCTTCCGGCGACTCTTCTCCGGGCCAGCTTTGTCGGAGGGGAAGCCGGGGGAGATCGCACCGGTGGGGGGCTTCGCGCTGCAGAAGAAACCAAGTGCGGGGGGCTTATACCCCGTGTACATCCCCTGCGACTCCAACCGGGGGTGGCATGGGGAGTGGTTCTACATCAGGAACCCGGCGAAGGTGCCGTTCCCTCCTTTCACCGGCAGGAGGCCAAAGAGGTTGGACAACTGGTTGTGGGACCCTGCCAGTAGATAGAAGCACAATGTGGAGATCATCGAGGCGGAGCTCCAGAAGCTCGTGTGGCGTGGCCTTGATGGGGTGCAGGTGTTCCACACCCTCTTCCGCCGTCGGGTTGCTCCGTTGACGGAGAGGACGCGGCCCGACAAACCCCGACCATGCGTTGCCGGAGGAGCTACCAAACGATGAGGACTGGAGTCGTCTTGACCGGGTGCTGCAGCTGAGGCCCAAGGAGAACGTCGATGGGAAGCCTAGACCTCTTAACTCCTCGGTGGTGTCCAAACTGGTATGCTTCTCTCTCTTTACTCCATGTTCTTTTTCCCTTTGTTTTCCTATTTTTTGATCAAGTTGCTTGTTTCATAGGGACTTGGAGTTTACAAGTCCCGGCCACGCCTTTCGAAGGGGCCGGAGGGCGCGGCTCGGCAGGCCGCCCAGAAGGAGGCGGTGGATGCCAAGAGGAAGAAGAAAGCCGAGGAGGCTCGGCGGAAGCATGAGAAGGAGAAGGAAATCAACCGGCGCGTGTGGGCCGAGGAAAATAGGAGCGACATCGAGTCAGAGCTCGAGTCGGAGGACCCCACAGAGGTGGTGGATGACATGATCTTCTCCGAGGAGGAGGAAAGTCGGGAGGTTATTGCGACCTCGGCAGAGCGTCATGATCCTACGGCCGTGCCTGCTGGCGGCAGGCAGGAGGCAGAGAGGAGCGGTGATGTTCCTGCACCGAGGAAGCGCGCTGCGAGCGCGGACGCCATCGGCGAACGAGAGCCGAAGCGACGCGGTCATCGCGCCCTTCGACGGTGTCGCCGGCCTCATCCCCGCCCGCTGCGGACACGGCGGGACAAGCCCGGCTATCGGAGGAGCGGGCTCGTACCCGCGCATCGTTGGGTCCAGCGCCAGTGTGTGACCCGCAATAGGAGGATGTCCCGCAAGCCGCTCTAGTTGGCGTGCCCCGAGCCGAAGGTCATAGTGACTCGCAGGCTGAGCAGGAGCCAGTTGGGTCGACTCCCTCGGTTGAAGCTAGGGGGCGTGGGTCACGGCCTGGGAGTGGGTCTCGCCCTATGGGCCCGTCGACGTCGGGTCAGGGCTTCAAAGTCGTATCGCTTTCATCCCGGTATGCCTTTTTCTTTTCGATCTTGCTGTTAGTTTTTTGGAGTGTGACTGACCTGTACCTTTTCGACAGCGGTCGGATGTTGATGGGGCGGAGCATCGCCCCAACTCCCGTGCGGGAGGATTGGAGGCCCACCTTGCAGCGCGCCGTGGCGAGCGGCGGGGAGAGCAGGGTGGTGGCGGTGAGTCCTTCCCTTCCGGGGGTGGTGCCCCCGGGTCGGTCGCTAGTACGGCGGTAGCGGCGACAACGGTGTTGGCGGCGAATCCCAGTGGTGATGGCGGAGGTCACGTTAGAGGTAACCCTTGTGGCCCCTCCTCCTCCAGCTACGGCGGAAGAGGAGAGGGAGACCGGGCTCCCCGCCTCGCCAGGCGGAGGGTGGCACGGCTCACCTTCCCGATCAGTGCTGGAGGTGCCGGGGGGAGATGCGACCGAGACAGAGCCGGAACGCCTGTTGGTGGCCCGTGAAACTAAGGTGCACTATAACATAACATACTTTTGCCGACACTTTCTATTGTAGGCATAGGGCACCTTTGCCGACAGTTTAGAAACAGTCGTGCTAAAAGTCGTCGACGAAACTTTTGTCGACAGTTAACAGAATCCCCGACGCTTTATATGTAGGCAAACGATCTACCTACGCCGACAGTTGAAACCTTTGCCGACAGTTAACCCTTTGCCGACAGTTAAGACCTAGGCCGACAGTTAAGATATTTCCCGACAGTTTATATGTTGGCCAAACCATTTCCAAAGTATTTTACAAACCATGCCCTGCCAAAAAACTGTCGGCAAAATTGCATAGATATAATTACAATTAAAATAATTTGACAAATCCACTTTTGCTCATATAGAAGGCATCACATTGAACAAATTCACTTGATTTTTGTATAAATAATATATTAGATCTTCCATACATACACCAACTTGATATAGAAGTTATCGCGCGAACGTTGTCTTTCTATCTCAATTAGCTGATCAGCAACAAGCTGTGAAGGCTGAAACCACAGATCTTTGAGTTCTATAACTTTCTTGATCTCCTTCTCAATCTTGATAACCTCTTCTGCTATTTGACTAAAAAACAAGACATAATGTGACGCTTTAACGAAGTCCTTCTTCAGGAACCATTCTTCCTACATTTGAAGTGTGTGATATGAGTACTTGTCCATTACATCCTCAACATGATAGGCTACCTTTCGCACTTCCCCAATCCAACCCTTGATGACTTCATCAGTGAGGTATACTGTGCCAATCTTACGTATGACATTGTTCATGGCTGTCAGTTGAATTCTTATTAACTCGATCTTGTCATTCAGATCCTTCAGATTATTAACCTTTTCCAATAATTTGGACAGCATTTTCTTGGCAGTTTCATCTGCTAAAACGCTACCAATCTTTGTCAGAGCAAGGAGTACTGCTTCTGCCATTTCTGCTAAAGAAAATTAAAAAAAAATCCTGTTACAGAACATAATGATGAATGTCATCGAAATGTACAGGTTTGAGTTTGATTTGCACGTCCAGACAGCAATTTCTTCTATGGAGCCATAACTACCAGTTTTCCTGGATAATTGTGGCTTCTTTGATATTTAATTCTAATAATTACTGCATGGATGTGTAACTTGTTCTTTGTATTTACATACAAAAATGCTAGGCTTGGTGATGTGAAGACAATCATACCAATCAACAGAGGACACTGCGTTAGTACAAAAGAAAATAGATGCAAAAACTTCATTGCTTGAGATCTAATAGGTGATAGTTAGTGGCTCATGGAGTTCTCCAATGTGGCCTCTAAAGTAGAATCATTTTACTCAAAATCATGACAGAAAAATTAAGAATGATACAACGAGTTTAGCACATGCCTTAATGTCATCAATATACTGTATCACAAAAAAAAGTTCAGATCAAATTATCTGTGAGGAAAATGAAACAGTGGTCAGGCAAGCACTAAAAATATAGACAAAAGTATCATGGTTGCACCATGCAGCACATCCAGGTGCTCAAACCTGATGGCAAATGCAGTGACAAGTTGGCCAAGAAAGCCTAGTGCACAGTTATAAAGTTTATTTACAGAAGAATTCAAAGGAATGTTAACACCTCTTTAAATATAGGAAATGTATGTGCAGACCAGTTTGGTGGAATTGCCAAACTGCTAACTGTCAAGAAATTGAAACTGTAAACTAAACAGGTAGGATATGCTATGATATTGGGAAATGCATGGATCAGTGACAACTGACAATGATGTGATATCCCCTGCATAGTTAAGTCCGTTCTTTTTTTTCTGGGACCAGGTATCCAATGCCGGAATTTAGCAATAGTTTTTATAACAATGGAGCAGTTGAATAAAATTATATTTAATGAAGTTAAATGTGAAAAATATGGAAAGCATTGACTGCAAAACACAACTTGGTTCACACCACAACACAAGGGCTGGGGCTGCATCTACTACACAATAGATGGTAGTCTGTTTCTTTTTTTTTAATGATATGGCAGGAGCTCTATCTTTCAACTAAGATAGGAAATATTATTTATAGATAGTAGGTCAAGCGCCTTCCAGAGGAATGGCAAAGAGATCCTAGGACGAACATGCAGGTCCCTCCCCCCGCCCTCCAAGCAGCATGAAAGGAGAAAAAACACCCCCAAAAGGTACCATGTTTGGCGCTAGAGCCCTCTTTCTTTGATCACTGTCTTCCTTAGCTCTCGAGACCACTTGCTGCACTATTCGGAATTTGTTTTAAAAAATCCTTCGATTCCTTTCCTTCCATATGTTCCACATTATGTAAATCACCATGCCATTGAAGCGCCCCCGTTGAATGGTAGTCTGTTTCTCTTTTGAATCAAATAGCACTTTTTTTCTAAAACTGCACTCTCAACTTTACTAGGTGAACACCTAGGCTAGCCTAATTACTTGAACATGTGTCGGTCGACTTCGACTGTTCGACTATCACATAGGGAAATACTAAACATCCAAATCTTCTCACTTTTATTTGATGCAAGATGTTGCTAAACGCACATGACTAGTCCCATTGAGGGAGAATTGAAGTGAACAATAAAATCAACATGTCATTAACAAATGAACTGTCATCCATAGATGGGCATGTAGGAATAACTGGAACATGGTTGCAATTGTCCAAGAAAATCCATCCAATTACCAACAACACTACAACAAAGCATCAAGCAATGATCCGAAGATTTAATCTGTAAGTTGACGAGCGATTCGTGTGACAGATCTGGTGCTCACCTGCTGGATACTTGCTGCCGGGCTACACAAATGGGGCCGCGGCTCACGTGCTCGCTCAGCAAAAAAAAACCTGCAGTAGTAAAGAAGATAAGATGGGATGAAAGTGGACTCGAGACATACATGAATGTTGAAGATGAAGAGATGACGTATAAGAGATTGTGTTTCTAATAAAAAATAAAAAAGTCAAAAATCGGATGAAATCAAATTAGTGCTGTCGCTGTGCATCACGTAAGCGCCGCACGAGTGCAGGGCTGCAGGCTGCGCAGCGCAGCTCTATCCGCTCGCCGGAGGCGTGAAGTCGGCGGCCACTCAACGACGACGGGTTGCAGTAGCGCCGGTCGGCGCAAGAGATGGGCCCGGCATAGGAATGGTTGGAGTCAAGGGAATGTGGGCTGCGTGGAGGGAGGGTGAGCCCAGCCCAGCCCAGAGGAAAGCTGGGAGAATAAATAAATGAGGCAAAAATCTTGTGCTTTGTAAAACCATGTAAAATTCCTATCCGTTGTTGAACAAGTTCTTTGCTGTTACGGAGCAATATATTAGCTGGGGAAAGCTTTTTCCTAGACCCGTTATATTATATAAAAAAAATTGAGGCAAAATTACTATGTTTTCACTAGAGAATAAGATTTCTTGAATATATATATTTTTAGATTAGGTTCCTGTATATATGCATTCATTTTTTGTCGAATCATGAAGGACAAATGCAGAGACAAAGTTCATAAGAAAAGGAAAGCATACCAATCAAGCAGAAGAGCTGATGAAGACTAGAAGGTCAACCCAATCCTTCTGTGCTTCCTAATTGGATACTTTGCAACTAAGGAAGAAAAAAAAGTCAGAACTGATCCTTTGGCCGCAAGGAGACATGTATGAACTCTGACTTCATAGAATTAAGTTGCAGATCCAGCTCAAAGAAACTTACATGCAAAATAGCATCTTGTGTACAGAAGCATAGATGAACTATGGAATCCTTTGGTACTTCCACACAGGTTCCTCTACAAAATCAACTTAATGCAATAAACACCATATCCAATTCAGTTGAATACATTCAATCTCTAAAGAGGGGAAGGGAACAAATGGGTAAATCTGGACTGAATGTAATATTGGCAAGAGAAATAACCTAAAGCTTGAATCTATTGGTCGTCCTTTGTCACCTTCTTCTGATCCTTTCTACAACCAAAGAAATAGGAATCGAAGTAAGCTGCTCGCCTGCTACTATTTCCAAAGAACAGAATCAATGGGACATGAGATAGGTCAGGGATGGCACCAGGGACGGCGGCGGACTTCACACTGGCCAGGAATCGAACACAGGCGCCACCAGATGCGTCTGTGACGGCGAATCTTGGGGGCCGGCAAAGCAGGTGGCGGCCGTTCGCAGTTCAGGCGTTGGTGGCGGGTCCCGGTGGATGTGGCTGGCTGTGTGCTGCTGTCGGAGGCTGGGGTGGCGTAGCTGCGACCAACGACGACAGCAGGTGGTGGTAGGGGCTTGGTGGGGCGGCCGGTAGAGGCTGGCTTGGTTAGGGTTCCGACGGACGACGGCGGGCGGCGGCACTGTGCAGGAGGGTGGCGGCAGGCGCTGGCATGGTAGGCTGCGGCGGCGAGGCTCAGCGTGGGAGGCGGCGGCAGCGAGGCTCGGTGTGGGAGGCGGTGAGGCTTGGCTCCGTGCGAGGCGGCGGCGGCGGGCGCACTCGCGGGTCGCGCGTGTATGGGCCACGGGCCTTTTTCTTTTTCTTGATGTAGTCGAGAGGGGGAGATGGGGAGTATATTCGAGGTTTTTTTTTTTCTGTTTCACCGGCCAGTCCGCTACGGATGGATTTGGTTCCACACTTTCGCCGACACTTGAGTTGTTGGCTTGGTTAGGCTATGCCGACACTTATTGTGTCTACAAATGTTTGCCGACAGTTTTAGTGTGCCCAGAGCAATGCCGATAGTTGATTTGTAGCCATACAACATCATTGCCGACAGATTATATGACATTAAAGGTTGTACAATTACCAACAGATAATGTGTAGTTGAAACCACCCCCTTGCCAACACATAACTGTAGGCAATTGTGCGTCATGGTGTAGTGGTGGTGGAGATCCCCTCCACGGCGTGTGAAGTTGCGTGCTATCGCGAGAGGTGGTTCTGAGGTCGGGCCCTCCAAATGAGCGGAGGAGACCGACCTGGTGTGGCCCTTCCCCGAGGACCCGATGAAGGTTCGGTTTATCCTTCAGGATTCGCAGGAGTGTCAACTCTGGGACATCCTTGGGGGGAGAAGACTCGCCATGGAGTCTGATCTTGCCAAGCTGTCGGTGAAGCTTGAGGAGGCCCAAGAGCGGGTTGAGTCCATCTAGCGGTTGATCGAGGTCGACCTACGCCACGCCGTGGAGGTGAGTTTCCCACGCTTGTCTTTGACCCCTTGGTCTCTCGTTGGTTGCCTCAGCATGCTTGCTTCTCATTTTTGTAGGGTCTGCAGGAGTTGTCGTGCCACAAGTCCCATTTCCTCCGGATGGAGCACGTTGGTCGAGCTCGGCGTTCTAGAGTCCGTTCACCGTGAGTCTCGGACAACTCTAGAGGTTATCCTTGTAGGGTCGAGATGAGGACTAGAGGGGGTGAATAGTCTTTTCTAAAACTTAATGGAGTCGAATTAAAACAATCTTGCCAAGACTACACCCCTATATATATGTTCACTAGCACCTTGCAAAGATACTAATAAAGCAACTAGGCCCAAGAGCTAGAGCTTGAGCAAGGTCCATCTAGCTTTTGAGTCAAGGAGCTCCTATACATGCTAGTAAGCAAAAGCACAAAGCTAACTAAGCTCACTAGCAATGCTCACAATAACAAGGCAACCAATGCCTAATTAGAGGCGCAAATACTTAGCTACACAAACTAAGCAATGTGACTAACTTACTGAAACCAAATTAGTCTCTACTTCTATTACCTCAAGCAAGAAGGTAATTAGCTAGCTTCACAAGCATTTTGTATATATAAGTAATTGCAAGCTTGTGTAATGGGGATGCAAACCAACGGGAAGAACAAGGTTGACACGATGATTTTCTCCGAGGTTCACGTGTTTGCCAACACGCTAGTCCCCTTAGTCGACCCGCTCACTTGGTGGTTCGGGCGGCTAATTAGCATTATGCGCAGCCCAGTGAGTCGGGCGCCAGAAGAACCTACCCCTTGAGTGAGGGTAGCTCAATGACACGCTTTACTA